TACTTATAAAACAAGGTGCTTATGGCATTTTATTATGGGTCAGACTCCCTGAAACAGACGGATATATGTCACATTTATGCAACTGACACTCACATAGACGTTATTTAACTTTTTCGGACTTGGTTTTCAGGATGACTTGACACACAAACGGCGCCGCACTGATGTAACTGAAGCGGGTCACAGTCCAGAGTCACGCTGTGGAAACTCATCATCACCTGAGTCACGCTGACCTGTTCTACACCTGGAGGACCTTCTAGAACCAGCAGCCCCAGGCCCGGTGACCTCTGCTGGTCCCCCACCCCCGCCCCCCGGTGACCCGTGCCGGTCCGCCGGTGACCCGGCCCCGCATGCGGGTCAGACGGCTCCTTCGCGACGCTGAAACTGTTACGCGCAGGTTGTTTTGTAACACTTTTTCTAAACTCGTCCAATGAGAACAGCTGTCGGCGGTCACGTGACACAACTTTTACATAACAGTTTTTTTTTTCCCCCCCTCGCGCGCTCCATTGAGAATAATATCCGTACTTCTCGGGCTGCACCATGACCGAGCGCTTTAGTCGCTGCGTCCCAGCAGAGGATACGAACGTGCGGAGCAGCCGAGCTCCAGACCGGGCATGCGGCACACACAGCCGGGGATAGACGTCCAGCTGCCCGCCCTGCATGGAGACAGAGAGTGAGAGTATGCTGCACCTTGCAGCGGAGGCTTTCCAGTCTAAAAACTTCGACCTGGCTGCGGAGATCTACGAGTGCCAGCTAGCGGGAGTCGGAGATCCAGGGAGCCGGCTGGAGCTGATGGTCAAGCGGGCTGACGCGCTCGCATTCGGGGGCAAATTCACGGAAGCTTTCGGGGTGTACAGACAAGCCTCGGAGATAGAGAGACTGAGACCGGCGCACCTGGTCAACCTCATAGAGTACCTGTCCGGGAGCATCAGGAGGCAGGACGGCGGGGAGAGCCGGCGCGGCTGCCCCGGGAGGGCGGAGGAGGAGGCGGCGGCGGCGGCGGCGGCTGCAGGTGCCACAGGTAGCGGCCACCAGGACTTCTGCTGCCGGATCTGCCTGAGCTTTCTGTTCGAGCCGGTCACGCTGCCGTGCGGACACTGCTTCTGCAAGAAGTGTCTGGAGCGGGAGAGGAAGGAGAAGGAGCGGCCGGTGATGTGCAAGGAGTGCAGGGACAGCTCCAGGGTGGCCGACGTGCAGAGTTACCGGGTGAACGTGGTCCTCAGCGGCCTGCTGGCCAAGTGGTTCCCCGCCCTGCACCAGGCCGGCCGGCTGCGGCGGGAGGGCAACGGGCTGTACGCCGAGAAGAAGATGGAAGCAGCGCTGGAGAAATACAACCAAGCCATACTGATAGGTAGGACCGCTGGTGTTTTTAGTCACAGGTTTGCTTTATTCACAAGAGCATGTTTGTCTGCATTTGTGCAACTTTCACCTCATGTGTGCTCAGTAACAACATGGCAGTGTTTTGGTATGAAACCACCATAAAATCCAAGCAGGAGGCCCAGGTTTATGGTGCATAACACTAGTTGGTAGATAAGTGTGTCACATCCTCAGTGAGCAGCAGCAGCAGCAGCTCTGTGGCCATGTGTTGGGTAACAGGGTTATGTAGGCTGAGCTACTGGACCAAACATTGCGTAAGCACGTAACCCACCTCCCTCAGCTCCTCATTGTGTAACGTCAGACAATGAATCAGGCAAATGTGGGTCAAGGGTATTATTGCAGGTCACCACTAGGTACAGCGATGCCAGCAGCAGCAGCAGCAGCAGCAGCAGAGGTGATGTTCAGGTGGAAGCAGTGTGCTGATGAACTGTGACCTTCAGACAGTCACATGCTCAGACTCAACCCCACCATTATTGATTAGAATAAACTTTATTTCTGCACAAAATCTGAGTTTCTTTGCTGCTTTCTAGTGATGTTTTATTTCAGCGTTGGCCCCATTTATTGAATCTTATCCTCCTATTAAATGAACAAACCGTCCTCTGGTGCAGCCACGAGTCTGGTGTGTCAGGAACTTGGCCTGACCTCGTTTGCCTTCGCAGCGCTGCAGCTCGGTCGCTTTATAGGCTGGTTGTGTAAGTTTGAAGAAGGCGACTCCTTTGAGATCGTAGTTTCATTTCCTGAACATTAGAAAGTTTGAATATGCAAAATGAGCGAGCGTCTTCGTCCTTGTGAGGCCAAACCGGTGGAGTATTGATCTCCCAACACCTGGATGATGCTGAGCTGGTTTGCTCCCACAGTCACTGGTTTTTCTGTTTTTAGATTTTAGCACAATGTTATCCAGAAAGCACTTTTAGCAGGAGAGTTTGATAAATGATGCATAATTATCATTCTGCATCATTTTGCATAAAATCCCTGAACACTGAAGAATCTGTGCATCTCAGCAAAGCCACAAAAACACACACCGGCGTTCCTTTATTTCTGCTCTTTGATTTGCATTTATTGCACAGCATTACTGAAGTCGTGCCCACATGTGTTCTGCAAGATATAATAAGTGAATGAAAATGTGTTTTCTGACTTAGAAAAGCTCGCTCGGAGTTCGCCCTTGTTTAATTGTGTGCATTATACAACCATCCTTCAGCATCATCCAAAAACCTGTCATCGCCTTCACCTCCACGCACCAATCTGGTCCCCACATCACTGAGGTAGCCTCTCATTACGGGGTGGAGTTTCAGAGTTGTATCTAGGTTACGATCGGGGTTGTGTTTGTGGCGTGTGGCAGTTTTTAGGGACGGTCTCCGAGGAATTAATGCAAGTCGGTGCAAGAACCTCGGTTATAATTAGCACTGTTTTATGTGAGCATACGTGTAGAAAAGCTGCCTTGGAGGGCGATCGTCAGCGTGCGTTTCCATCTTCGCTTTATGTCAAAACACTTTGTCAAACCGTCTCTGTGGCTTCTCCTAAACTTCTCCAACTGATTTGTTTTTCTCCTTGCGAGTGATTTACAACCCGTGTATGAACAGACGCCAGGAAAAACAGTTCCTTCTGATTCCCATAGGGCCCAGTGCGACATTTGCATAAGTTTGTATAGTTACGAAACCTGGAATGTGGGTGACCTTGATAGTGCTGCATGGTTTTGTAAGGCAGCAGCTTTTCATAACACATTTTGTAATGTAGAAACGGATCCACTTTAAACATTCCTTCTGTCAACTAACTCCAGTCATTATGTCACGAGTAAATTCGGCTTTTTAAGACATTTGGGAGGAGAGAGAAAAAAAACAAGCAGCGGTTATGGATTTATTTATTTTTTTAATATTCTGCAGTAGGTTGTGAAACAGTTGCAGTAAAGGGGTCAAGAATCTTAGAGAGGTTGGAGCTGAAGGAACGAGACGCTAAAGCAGACAGACAAAGATTTCATAGATTAGAAGAGTATTCTGATAAGAGATTAACTGTTTAAGTCACTTATTAAGGGGGAAAAAATGCCTTAAATGTGCTGATTCTCATTTTTCTTTGTTGTACGTCCGATTTAAATGAAATATCTGAAGCTTTTCCTGATCTTTTCTTTTCTTCTTTGAGCTGCACCTGACACATTATCAACAAATGTGCCAGATTAGTCGGTTGTTTGGTGTGTAAAACGGCAAAAACAACAAATATCCAGAGTTTGAAAGCCAAAAATGATATTTGAAATGCCATTTTTAAAGATTTTCTACTTGCTAAAAGATTTTTTTTTTTAAATAGAGGATGGTAACATGTCTGTAAGAAAAATGAGTTTGACTAATAGATAGAAATTAAAGTAATCTATAACATACATCCCTGCTAATTGTCTGTTATATGTCAATGTCAAGCGGATTTTTGTTGTTTGGTTTGTTTTCCACAGTTTTAGATGCAAATTATTTTAACAGGGTTTATTATTTTACAACCACCGTCTCACTGACGAACAAATCAGATCACTTTTATTAAGTTTACAGCTGAAATAAACTTCTTTTTAACGTGAAACAAATGTGAGCAACCTTGTGTTTGATGCCAAATTGGTATAAAAACAGAGGAAAGGAAATTAAAGAAGGAAAAGACAGAAGGAGAAGCAAGCAGATGAAATCATAAACTCATCAGAATTGAGAATTTTAACTGTCCCTCCTTTTTTTTTTAATGTCCTCAGCACCTCTGGACCACATACTGTTCAGCAACCGCTCCCAGATCCACTCCAGTCTGAAACAATACGAGAAGGCTCTGAGAGACGCTGAGATGTGCTGCAGGCTGATGCCTCACTGGTCCAAGGTAGGACACACACCCAAACAGGCACGTTGTGATTTATAAGCTCTATTATGAGTCTGAAGTAAACGTTCTCCTCCTGCCCGCAGGGTCACGTTCGTAAGGCTCAGGCCCTGGTGTCGCTGGGCCGGCCGGAGGAGGCTCTGAGGGAGTATCTGCTCTGTCTGTCCATGGAGCCCGACTGCAGAGTGGCCAAGACGGAGGCTCACAAGGTAAACATGACGCCGCTGCGACGCACTCGTGTCGTTCAGTTTGTGTTTTTCAGCCTGTTTCACTCTCGTCCTCCCCTCTCAGCTCCTCAGTGACCTCCTGGCTCCGGTCACAGATCAGGTCCCTGAACACATCTCAGACTACTCCAACATACTGTCTTCCAGAGCGCACATCAAAAGCAGCCTCAGTGCTCCCTTCCAGGTAGGAGACGCTCCACCTCTGGGGACCATCTAAACCAAAATGCTTTGTTTTTCTTTGCCGCTCCCTTCACCGTCTCCTTCTTCCATTTTCCCGTCTTGTCTTTAGGCCGTCAGTCCCTGCTCGCCGTCTTCAGACTCCAGTCTTCCTGCTCCCGAGAGGTCAGAGCGGAGTCCGGCTAAAGGCCAGCAGGAGCTCCGGAGGCTCGATCACTGTTTCCTCCTCAAACGGAAGCGAAGGAGCACCGAAGAGGAGGGCGACGATCACAAGAGATCCAAGTCTGGTGAGCTTACAGCCGCACACAAACACACAATCGCTATTACCAGCGTTCGCATCGTATTTATCGTCTGGTGATTTCTCCGTTCAGAGCCAACAGAGACGCCCAGTTCTTTGAGTTCTGAGGTCGGTGACGTCCTGGATCCAGCAGATCTGGAGTGTTCTCTGTGCATGAGGTGAGAGTTACACAGCCGGCGACCCAACGTAACCCTGTTCTGCAAACTGTCTGTCTGAAACCCAAAACAGTCAAAGGAAAAAAAAATATTATTCTCTGCTCGAGCCTGAACAAAAGTCTGTGTGGAGCTGGAGTAGCGACTCGCGATGCAATAAATCCATTAGCAGTTGTGTAACATGTCATAAACCGCAGTTGGCAGTCGTATCGCCTGCAATGAAATCATTTTCCAGTAGCTGAGAAAAAAATCGAGTTACGGCCTGCAGTGTGTACGCAGACACACAAACTGTTCGTGGTGGGAGAGAATATCAGTACAGTAACATCAGCATCACTTCCACAACTTCCCACAACCAGAATCCCGACTTCATGGTGCATAATCCGTGTCTTGCAGTCGCTCGTTATCGTGATCGTGTCGTATCGTGAACGACTCTACGACTCCCACCCTTAGTTCAAGCCCAGAGTTTCATATGTGTCGTCTGTAGTTTGCACTCTTGTGTCCATGTTTTTTTTCTTTACACTGTTTTTGTGTTTGTGTGTTTCCTCATCCAGACTCTTCTACGAGCCGGTGACGACGCCGTGCGGTCACACTTTCTGTCTTCAGTGTCTCAAGAGATGTTTGGACCACAACCCCAAGTGTCCGCTGTGTAAGGAGGAGCTGTCAGAGGTACGTCAAGACACGACCAGACCGAACAAACAGCAAACAACACAGTGTGATCTAAACTGGACATTTTCTCTGTCTGCACCGAACATCAGTGGTTTCTTTTTTGCCACATTACAGATACAGTTAGGATCTTTTGTATAGGTTTACCAAACAACAGGGATTGTTGTGGAGCTAGAATAGAATACAATAGAAATACTTTATTGATCCCCAAAGGAAAGTTCTGTTGTTACAGGAGCAAGCAGAAAGCATAAAATGACCACAAATATAAATAATTAAGCAGAAAAATCTGGTAAGTAGGTAAACAAAAATAGGAAAAAATGTACTAAATTACAAAATACACAACAAAGTGTAAAATATACTGAGAAAAATGCACAAAAACACTATTATACATATGACTAAACTACTGAAAAACTGCACACTTTGACTGATTGCATTGAAATTCTTGTAAAAATACTGAATTTAGCAATAAAATAGTGCAAAAAATACAATTAATTTAGCTCAGTTCATGCCATTAATAAGATCACCATCTAGGCTGATATCAATCAGGTGTATTAAACATGTTTTGAGACAAATATTTAGCAGACTTTAACACTTACTGCTGTAAAAACGAAGGATCTCTGTCTGACCTCGTGTGCTTTCTGTTTGATGCGTCCATCATATTCAGATTAAGATCTAAAACTGTCAAAATAGGTTGAATTAATGAGAATACCTAATTATAGAGGCTTTGACTAATCAATCAATCAATCAATCTCAAAAGCAGAATCTGTCGACAAACTCCTTCATCACTTTTAATTCTACAACAATAACAGTTCTCCAACAGCACAAGTTAAAACTAAAATAATTTATAGGAAATGTCACAACAGCAGGATATCAGGAGATAGAATTCACTTAATTTAAATTAGTTTTTTTTTGTTTTATTGTAAACCTTCACTACAATAAACCTTCTACACGACTTTTGAATGTTTTATTTTCTTAAATTTGGTTTTTTATCACACTTTTAATCAATCAGTTTGAATTATTCAAATGAATGTATTTGCACTTTATTCATTCTTGTCTGTACTGTCACTTTGCATAACCTCTCTGTGTGATAAGGTGCTAATCAATCATCATTCTGTGTGTCCCCCCTGCAGTACCTGGTCCAGAGGCAGTACTGTAAGACCGTATTAATGGAGAACCTGATATCCAAGTATCTTCCCTCTGAGCTAATGGAAAGACAGAAGATCCAACAGGAGGAGATGGCTGAGCTCTCTAAGTAAGTTACGCCGGCCTCCGCTCCGTCTCCCCGCCAGCTCTTGTGTGTTCTACTTTGGTCCGTTTTCTCTTGTTAGATCGTCGTACAGATTGACGTTACTACCAAACCCCTCCCCCCTCCTCTCTGCCGTTTGACCCACTGACCTACAGTAGGCGGCACACGTGTCTGACACACTAACCTCGTAGCGGACGTTATGTCAGGCATCATGTGTCACTTTCCTGGAGGCTGACGCAAACCTGTCACTCCAGTAAATAACTGCACTTAAACTGGGGCGGCACTTGTTCACTCTCACAGCAGCCGGTGTTTGTTTTTTTTTGTTTTTTTTTTTACCTAGTTGTAGCAGGAAGCAGGAAACTTCCATCCTGCAAAGTTGGGATTTGAAAGTTTGACAATGACAAAGTAAAACATTACCTCATCCTGTGACTCTGCTGCTCATTAACACAAACACTTCTTCTCTCTTCTCGTTCCCCTCCAGTCTTAACAAGAATGTGCCTATATTTGTGTGCACCATGGCCTTCCCCACTGTGCCGTGTCCCCTCCATATCTTCGAGCCCTGCTACAGGCTGATGATCCGCCGGTGCATGGAGACGGGAACCAACTGCTTCGGCATGTGTCTGGGGGACAACCTCAAAGGGTGAGTGCCGGGACAATGTGCTGCGTTTTCACGTGGTTTCAGAGTTTATAAATGTAGGAAGTGTGACGTTGTGCGCCTCGTTCTCCAGGTTCGTGGACTACGGCTGCCTGCTGGAGATCCGCGACGTGAAGTTCTTCTCCGACGGCCGCTCGGTGGTCGACACCATCGGCAGGCGGAGGTTTAAGGTGGTTCAGCACAGCGAGAGGGACGGATACAACACGGCGGATATAGAATACCTGGAGGATGTGAAGGTACGACGACACGGCTGGTCAGAGAGGGAGACGTTGAAGCTGAAGGTGTTGGAGATGTTCTAGCTCAGAGTTGTGTGTGTGTTTGTGTGCAGGTGGAGGGCTTAGCAGAGCGCGAGCTGCAGTCTCTGCATGACACTGTGTACGACCAGGCGCTGGTCTGGGTGAACTCTCTGAAGGCCGAGCAGAAGGAGCGCATTGAGGGACACTTTGGACCGATGCCTGAGAAAGACTTGGAACTTCAGGTAACACATGCAAACATAGTAAAGGTGTTGGTAGTTAGAAGAAAAAAAGGAAATCAAATTAATAATACACATATGAGAGGACATATGAGGCCAACATAGAAACAACACACAGTACAGTTACAGGTTAATACATGCATTTTACATTTAAATTGGCAATAAAGAAATCTAACACACAATAAACAAAGTTAAAGATGAATTTGACTGATAGCATTATTTTTATTTTGTCCCATTTTCAATAGTTATCATATCATTTTCATAATTAAGGTGGACCTAATTAATACACAGTCTTTTTCATTTTTTTGCCTTGAATACTGATGCATGCTATAATAATAATAGTAATAATAATAATATGTAACTTTGCTTATGTGGCAGTTTTATTTAGCAAAATTTCAGGATGGTGCAGACGTTAAAGTACAGGAGATAAAACCAACCGGATTGAACGACACATGCATAAAAGAACAAAATGAAATTAACCACAATGCAAATGCAACAATAACAAATAAACCAACATAGTAAAATATATAAAGAGCAAAGTAAATGTAAAATAGCCTCAAGGAAACCCATTAAGATAGATTCATGTGTTAAAGGAAGGTTTCCAGGAAAGTTTTTTGTTGCCAGATTATTGATGAAATTGTCATTTTAATATTACCTGCACCAGTATTACCGTAAATATTAATATCAGCCACAGCTGCTAAATGTTCATGCATCAGGAAAATACATCCATTTAAAGTACAGTTATTCAGATATTCTTAATCTGGGTTAATCTTGCTAATTTGGAACTCAGAGATTTTCGACTCCAGCATCTATCAGCAGTGCACATGAAGGAGAACTAGTCACTTGAGTTAACTGTTGTTCTGACCACCTGCTGGCTGTCTAACCCAGCTGGTGTTCACCTGCTCAGTCAGAAGTCAGTGTTTGAAACAGGAGGCTCAGAATCAGGATTTATGAGTCTCTACAGGAGTAAAGTTAGCAAACAGAGTGGGAATAAGTCCTGGTTTAAAACACACCAGAATATTCTGTCTACTTCCATCGTCTCACTGTGTCTCCTCCTCTCTCTCTGTGTCCCTTCAGGCCAGTCCCAACGGTCCGTCCTGGTGTTGGTGGCTACTCGCTGTTCTTCCTTTAGAGGGCCGAGCTCAGCTGCCGTTTCTGGCGCTCACCTCTCTGAAGGACCGTCTCAGCGGCATCCGCAAAGTCCTGCTCTTCATGGCTCACAGTCGACACCGGTGACAATGAAAGTAAAGGTGAAACTAAACCACCTGCAGCAGCGGCAGCAGTTGACCTGTTGCTCTTCCTTCGGATGCACAAAGAACTGATGTTGCACCTTCCTGGCTGTAGCGCGGATTTCATCGACACATCAGCGGCAAACTTACAAAGCAACATAATGTAGATCTGAATTAATAGCTGTCTTCCATGGATGATATTCTCATCACAACTAGCACCTGTGCAGACCTGCAGACTGAAGCTACACTCAGACAGGAGAGGAGTCGGACTTCTCGAGCGGACTGTCGTGAATTTGTGTCTAGACGTGGGTTTAAACAGAACTGTACTTCACTATAATAACAACGCTAATGCGCACATTCTGGGTGTATGTTCTCGTCTTCTTCTGTCCACTGTTGCCTTTCCGGCTGTCCTCCATGTTTGTAGTTCTCTGCTCTTCCCTCTTCCATCTGTTGCAACACTTTATAGTCTGATATGAGTTTTTCTCAGAAGTTTGGCAGTTTACTACTCAAAAACACCTGAGCTTCCTGTCTGGACGTAGCTTTGAGCTGCGACTCAGGCTGCCGTTGATCCAACCAGTCTCGTCTTTAAATGTAAATATAAATTCTGCGAGAGACCAAACTATTAATTTGCTTTTTTGAGCAAATGCACTCGATGAAATTGAGTGAAAAACAGTACAAACAATAAGGATTACTCATGACATTTACTCCTCCACTGATTGAAACCGCATTCAGGAGCCTTTTTTTACCACCTTTACTGTATCTAGCAATAATGAAGCTACTCCGTCTTCCTTCCTTCTTTCCTTCCTCCGTCGTCCCCTCGCTTCCTTCCATTACTTCCTCATCCTACTGAATAACAACGGACTGAACCTTTACATTGCTTTAAGGCTTTTGTTCTTGTATTGTATTCATTCTTTTTTTTTTTTTTTTTAATGTTTTGAAATTGTTTTCCACTATTTATTTTGTCATTATTTATGCATGCAGTGACATTGTTTACATTTCACACAGAGAGAGATGCTGAGCTGCTCACTTTCCAAAGGATTTTTAAAAAATGATTATTTTGCTTAAAATCTGACCCCAACTATCATTAATACCCCGTTATCTCATAATTTACACATTTAATTGACATCCCATAGAGCTGACATGGCCGCCACTGCAAAAACAAAACAGTGCTTCCCTCTCAGACCTTCTATTTTTAAATCACCATTGACCCAAATTGGTTTTGTGTTTGTGTTGGCCTGTCACAGTCCGAGCTGCATCGACTTGAAAATATTCCCCGCAGCCTCTCGGACTTTTAGCAACAAGCGGTGGAGTCGCTCCCGCCAACATTTGGATTTCTGATGCCATTATCTGCTTAGTGTATTTACGCAGTATTTACTCTGACTTACGCTGCACTTCAGCTCCGTGTAAGGGCAATAAACAGTGCAGGCGGGCCTCAGTGTGCTGCAGTCAGAACACTAAAGCACTCGGATCACCGCAGAATCGAGTTAAATCCTCTGGTGGTTTGAAATATAAACCGAACGCGTGATGCAACCTGTCACAACATCTCCAATCGTTCGACTGATGTATGTGTGAGTAAAGGCCAGTGCCTTCTGGATCTTTAGGCTCATTTTTAGGTCCCTACATCCCCACATTTCACAACAGCGTAAATTGAAATACAACAAACCCAATTTGAGAAAACCTACAAACATATTTTAAATAAAAAATATGTAGAATAAAAGCATTGAGGCCTTGCTGATGTCTGTGACAACTGTTTCTACGCGGCAAAAGCTGATCTCTGAAGAACGCGAGAGGTCGTTGAGCTTCGCCTTCATAAATCTCTTTCTTTTATACACACGTGTTTGATTTTTACATGTTTCTACGTCGATCAGGTTCTTTGTATTTTATGATTTTCTTCACGTAGTGGTGTGTTTGTTTCCATGTGTAACAGCGCAGGGAGCGTCGCGTCAAACCGTCCACGTTTATTGTTTCGCAAAGGGCCAAAGCCACGCAATGCTGAAAAAAATGGCGTCATGATAGAAATGCGCTGATGTGATTTGATATTCAGTTTTTCCACTGCATTGAGATGGTTTAAATGTGACAGCAATACTCCCAATATATATATACTGCAAATATGGCATTATAATCTGTCGTGTAATGACCCCAGTACTCCTGCGTGTTTAATGATGTTTAACCGCTAAAACGACTCGTCAACTCCAACTGGAACGGAAAGGGAAAAGCCGCAAACGTAATCGCACATGCAGAGTAAAAGCATATCACTCGGATATCTCAGACGGACGGACAAATGTGTTTTCTGAATCAATGTAAAGGGAAAATCCACCTAAAATAAAATCACTACTCTTTTTTATTATTTCACAACTTGAGTAAAAGTTCCAACCAACACATTAATTTTTCAAAAAGTTTCCACACGCACAAAAAAAGAAAAGCTGAAGCATCTCTCCAATGTGGTTTTTTGGTTTAAAACTGATATCTGTGATTTTTTTGTTTTTGTTGATTTGTGACAGCAGTTCTAGTGCCTTAGGTTAAACTCCTTCCATTTTCACTTAAACAGCCATGGCAACTATAGTAATTTAGCTGTTACCTGCTTTTTCTCTCGATAACGTCACATGTTTGTACCATTTATTCTAATTAGATCTCACCCTAACGAATAAAGTAGCAGCATCTCCTCCAACGACGGCTGTGTCCGATTTAAATTCCTGCCATCGACTGTAACTGACAACATTAGATTTTTTTTCAACCTTAATTTATGTTTTATATTTAACAGTAAAACAAAATAAATTAATAAAACATCAAAAAATATTGTTTTGCAGGCATTTATTTGCTTTATTGCCAAGAACTAGATGAACGCTAATGTCAGTAAGCTAACTATGATGCTAACAGCCAGCTAACCTAGCAACAAAAAAATCCCCTTAAAATGACAAATTGTCTTTTTTTTCCACCCTACTGTGTGTTACATATAGATTAAACAAGTAATAACATCTTATTTTGTGAGTTTTAGCATTAATAGTATTTATTTTATTTTTTATTTTTTTAAAGCACAGGCTAGCTGTTTCCTCTGCCTCCATGCTAACTTAGGCTAACCTGCTGCTGGCTGTAGCGTCATATTTAGCATACAAAAACCCAACTTGGCAGAAAAGCTAATACATGTACTTGTCAAAATATTAAAATATGCTTTATTTAGACTACATATATAAACATCCATTGAACAAAAACGCATAAAGGATGTTTACGATTAATTGTTATCATACGTTAAAAGCTAAAACACCTTTACCGTCTTCTATTTTTTTCAAAACATTGTTGGATTTTGATTCTCACGCTAGCAGACAACATGCTCAACTTCAACCCCCTACGTCCCCGACAACATTACAACATCTCAATTTCATTTTTGTGCTTTTTTTTATACATACAGAAAAGGAGGGTTTTTGTTTTTTATGTTTTTTTGTGGTTGTTTGATTCCATTGACTGTCACTGAAATGTTTTCAGAAGAAAAGTCTGTTAATTAATAAACAGCACAGGTTATAAGCTATGATCCTGTTGAGACACACTGGCATTTGTATTGAATCCTCAGAGGTCAGGATGGTTTAAACGGTTATTGTTTTTGTAGCACTCCAATTTCATGACTGTGATCACTGTTGACAAACCAACATTTCCTTTCACCCCACGTCACTGCTTCCAATTTGTAGAAACAAGCGCAAGCAATGTAGAAGAAATTGGATCTTTTTGTATTTTTTTTGGATATTCGGTCATCCAGCTATGCAATCACGACAGGATGACGTCGACATCTTGACCTTTCAGAATTCAACCACAAACCACACAGACTCTGGCGTCCAAGAAAAACGATGCTTCCTAATTCTGTTCTTTTCCTGTTATTGTCGTTTCATTCGTGTACGTAAATGCAATTTGAGAGTCTGAACAAATCGTCGTGTATCATCAGAGTCCCACCAGTGCTCTAAAATGTAATGTACCCGCCATCGGTTGTCAGGTCATGAGAGATCGTGTCGCCTCAGCCGCAAAGCTGTGAAATCTGGTTTCTGCGTGAAATACGAATTGAACAGCTTCTTGGAAACAAACTCAAAAGACCTTGTGAGGCTTCTGTTTATGCGATTTAGGGAACAGCTGGGGCTCGGTGCTGCGTTCAAGGACGGGAACGTTCATCATTTTCTTGGTCTGTTGCCCCATCTCCACCTTCTCTGACAAAATACTTCTAGAAATTCATGTCTAAAAAAACAGCAAGCGCTACTGAGATTTCAAATATGTGTACTGACTTCAGCTACCACATGGCCTGCTTCTGTCAACGGTTGTTAAACTCTCCTCATGGCCTCTAAATGTGTCCAGGTGTATTTGCACAAGATGAATGTGTGTCTTGACATCTCTTCTGATGTTCTCTGTTCATGTCTGTTTTTGATAGTAAAACTTTAGTACGCATTGATTTGCAGGAATACAGTCCGAAGCTACGACTTGTGAATTAACCAAAAGGTTTGAGTCTCGATCCCGTCTGGGATCGCGAGCAATAAATGCGGTGGAGCTCTAAGCTACGTCTCCTTTGTTTGTGTTCCTCACAGTCGGCTGTGTTTCTTAGAAAGTAGCGGCTCAGATTACTGGTTACATGACTGAGCTCTTGTTCAATAATTTACGAGATGAGTCAGCCGCTCTATCTCAGCTGATTACGTTCAAGAAAAAAAACAACAGCCATCGAGTGAAGCAGCTTCGAGTGAGTCGGCGTTTTAAATTAAATTTTAAAAACTTAGTTATGGGGATTTTCATGGATGTTTCAGAACAGTGCAGCTTTTCTTCAAAAGCATTACAACAGACTTTAGAAGAGACAGAAAGATTAGCACTAAAGGGGAAAACATGTTTACAGCTGTCTCAAGCCATTAATGAATTAGGTCAGTATGAAACGTTCTTATCTGGTTTGTAGAGCATTAGGTGAAAAGTTTGAGAACATGATTACGTTGCTGTTGCGTGTCCTAGCTGGTATTATATCATAGAAAGCTTGGCTTAGTGGGGAAACTGAAACCACTGAATGTATAAAAAGATGTGCTTGACTCCTCAGGCTGGTGTTAGACTTTTTTCCGTGAGTAAACTTTGTCATCCCCTGAAGTCCACAGGAGTCTGTAGTCACTATGCTATAAGGGCAACAGCGTGCATGCTTAGCAGTCATGTGTATGCACAGAATGCATCGATACCTTTAATATGCATCACTTTAATACAATTTAAATAGGTGAGTTATATAAAAATGTGTCGCCCGTACAGCTGTGATGAACGGACAAATCCGTTTTTTGTACCAGGATGTCAGCTTTAAGACGCTCCTTAATGGGGGTTGATTTACTTTTCTAGTTCGCTTCAGGTGGACATTCAAGGAACTGCAGTTGTTGGCACTTAATTTTTTAGCCCCGGAGATCGACGCTAGCATGTAAAAATGATCCCCTTAACCAACTCTGCAACAGAACAAATTATCTATACACCGCTTAATCCTCACTAGGGTCATGGGGGGCTGGAGTCTGTACCAGCTGACTTTAGGGTGAAGGCAGGTTCACCTGGACAGGTCACCAGTCTATCACAGGGCTACACTTAGAGACAGACAACCAAGCACACTCACATTCACACCTACGGACAATTTAGAATCACCAATTAACCTCAACATGTTTCTGGACTGTGTGGGAGGAAGCCGGAGAACCCGGAGAGAACCCATGCTGCACCGGCGACCTTCTTGGTGCGAACCAACTGCGCCACCTTGCAGCCCCACAAATTAATATATTTAGCAAAAATGTCTGCTACCTTGAAGTTGTAGTAATATGTTGATATCTACATATCAACAGCAAATCGCTGTTTGCATAGCTAACTAAGCTGTAGATTTAATTTAAATGGATAAAATTACTGTTTTTATCATTGACCAATAATGATAAGCTAACAGTAACCCATTAGCAGGGGAGCATGGCGGTGGCAGCATCATGCTTCTCAGCAACAGGGACAAGATATAAAAAAAAAAACTGCCCCAGAGTCCAGCGATGAATCTGGGACGATGGTTTCAGCATAACACTGACCTGAAGCATTTGGCCTGAATACTTTCTGAAGTGACTGTATGCTAACTTGGCTAGCTATAGCTGTCCTTCTACGTACTCCTCTCTATCTGGTTATACCAGCTCAGCATCCAGTTGCTTTTTTAGCTGTTTTGCTCTTAAGTGAAGGAAATACTGGTTTCAAAAAGGAGAGGAAGGGTAACATCTGAACCTGAGCACATGATTGAGTTCATTCAATTTCATTTGCACTAATTCATAAAACAAGTAAAGTCAGGACAGCTCACATAATTACATAAAATATAGAGACAAGCTGAATAAATCCAACACTGGCACACATGTTGACTGTGTGACTGCAGTTGTCATAGTTTGCAAACAACCACAATTAAGTGGAGTTTCTGTTTAACATCATTTCAGATTACCAGCTTTGGCTTTCAGTGGAGGAGTCACTGAATCAAACCTAAGTGGCTGATACAGCGACACACCCATAATGTTAATCTGGGTCAACAAAACATTCTTCAGAGGTCGAGGGTCTGCGGAGAAACGTCAGCGAACCGGTGAAGGACAACAAATTCAAGCAGAGCAGTTTGCCAGAGAAGGAGCGGGTGGGATGGAGGGTGGTGGTGGTGGTGTGTGTGTGTGTGTGTGTGTGTGTGTGTGTGTGTGTGTGTGTGTGTGTTGGGATAAACAAGGCAGAATAAACAAGTGCAAGAAAAGACTGTTGAAGAGAAGAAAAGCGACAGAGAAAGAAAACAAGGTCACGATACCGGTGGAGAGAATGTGTGAAGGAATACATGTGGACGCAAGCGACTGAAAGAGATTATACAATTATAGAGCTGGAGCGGTCTGGGCGGACTGTTAATGTTCAGCTGGAGGACGGAGAGAGAGAGAGAGAGAGGGAGGCGGGAAGCTCGACAGACAGGAAGACAGATAGTTTATGCAAGCAATGCAAATGTAGGTCAGTCAGTCAGAGTCAGAAAGTTCGAGCGACAGAAAACAAGCAAAACAAACTGGAGGAGAAGTTTGATAAAACGAGCTCTGGCCATTCCAGACTCTTTATGTTGCTCTTCAGTATAATTACACTGCAGATTAGCGAATTTAGCTCACCGCAATCACATAAGAACTCTTTACAGGCCTACTTATTCAATCCGGTGCCTCTAAATATAGACGCAGGAGCTTTCATGAGACCACCGTATTACACAGCGTATATTTCCAGCATCATATCTGCATTCAGCGCGTAGAATCTGTTCTGATAGCCGAAACTGAAACACGATGCCCGCAGTGAACGCTCATTATGTGTTTGGTATCACAGTGAAGAATGAGCTGTCCTCATTCTAACCAGTACATAACATTCTGCAGGTGTAACCTCGTATAACCTGTCATGTAACCGCC